CGCGCGCCGCGCGCGTCAGCTCCTCCTCGCGGCTCAGCAGCTCCTGCGTCGGGGCAGCGGACACGGTGGGGTCAGCCCGGCGCCGCGCCCGGCCTTCTCCCAGCTCCAGAACCGGGGCCCCTCGCACCTTTTCTTTGGCTCGCAGCTCGTCGAACAGGCCCTGGATCTCGCGCTTCCAGCCTTCCTGCATGGAATGGAAGGAGTCCCGCGGCATTTCCCTCAAGACCTGCGCTTCCAGCGCCACGAGCTGCTGCAGGATGGACGCGAAGTCGGGCCTGCGGTGGGGGTCCTGCGCCCAGCAGTCTGAAGGCGCGAAAGGGGGAGGGGCAGTCACGCCCGGGTCTGCGGGTGGGTGTGTCCCGGGCCAGGGAGCCCCGCCCCACCCCAGGCCCCGCCCCCTTACCAGCCATGAGCTGAGCGAAAGGCTCGGGGCAGGTGGATGGGATGGGCAGCGTCAGCTTGTTAACCGCCACACCATAGGCCACAGCCAGGCAGTCGATGCCCCGGTAGGGCACCTCTCCAGTCAGCAGTTCCCACAGCAGCACCCCAAAGCTGTGGGCGAGACAGGTCTGTGTCCCCTTCTCTACCCACCCAGCTCCCTGTCCCAAAGCATCCGGGAGCCAGGAAGAATCCTGAGCCCTCGCTCTGGGCTCTGCCCATCTGCCCAACCAAGGCCTTGGTGGCCAACTCTGCCCCCTGCCCATTGCTGGCTCTGTCTGTGTCTGCTTAGGCCGCACCTCCAGACATCACTGCCCTTCGAGAAGGTGGAGGCCTTGATGACTTCGGGGGCCATCCAGGCATAGGTGCCCGCGGCGCTCATCTGCGTGGTCTTGTGCCACTCTCGGGCCAGGCCGAAGTCCGTGATCTTCAGGGTCTTGTGCTCCATGTCATCACCTTCAATGGGCTGCAGCAGCAGAACTGGGGAGAGGAGGGGCACACTGTGGGTGCTCGAGGCCCAGTGGAAGATGACCGACATCCTGGCTGGGCATGTGTGTTTAGACTCTCGACTTTCCCTGGAGAGTTCACAGCTGGGGTCGGGATTGGAATAAACCAAACACAGTAAGCCTGGGCTGCCTTCTCTGAGAGCCTGGGTGGCATTGTGAATGATGCATGGAGCTGCCAACCCAAGGTTAGCAGTTCAGAGCCACCAGCTGCTCCTCAGGAGCAAGGGGAAGCTTTCTACTCCTGTAGAGAGTTACAGTCTTGGCAGCACTACCGTGAACTATGGGGTCACTATGAGTCAGAATCGACTGGACAGCAGTGAGTTAGTTACTAGAGAGCGGGCCCCTTTTACATTCATTATCTCTAGCTCTCTCTCAACACACACACCCCCACACCCCCACAACCGTCACCACCACCACCAACCGTATGGTGGCTATTATGCCCATTTTAAAGAAGAGGGGACTGAACTGAGAAGGGCAAAGTCATAGCAAGTGAAGCGGATTCCAACAGGGTCCAGTCTCAGGATGCCCTTCACAGTTACAGCTAGCGCAAGTGAGGCATGTGACGTAAGTTTCGGACGTGGGCCATGGGGACCCTACAGGGTGTTCAGGTGGGCCGAATTAGCACCCTTCAGAGGCCTCAGCCTAATGCTACAGCCTGCTGGCAGAGGGCACCAGGGCCCTGGTGGTTGCCCACCTCCTTCCTGCTAGGCTCCTGAGCCTGGTGTCCCGAGTGACCACTACGGGGCTCCGTCCACTCTGCCAGCTGCTAGGTGTGCTGTCTCCTGAGGGCCTTTCGCCCTCAGGCATTCCATGGGCAGCGCTCCTCGGAGCCCAGCCGGTCTCAGCCCCCCACCTCCCCGGCACTCAGACTCTCCCGAGGTCTGTGGTTCCCTCCCATGGCAACCTCCACTCTGGAGCTCTGAGGCAGACAGACAGCAGAACCCCCACTGTGGACCACATGCTCCCAGTAACCACCTTTGTCATCCCCCCCACACAAACTCTGCCATCGAGGGGATGCCAACTCATAGCGACCCCAGAGGGCAGAGCAGAACTGCCCCTGTGTGCTTCCGAGGGTGTCGATCTCTACTGGAGCAGGAAGCCTCATCTTCCTCCCAGGGAGTCGCTGGTGGTTTTGAACTGCTGGTCTTGCATCTGGTCCACCAGACTGAAAACTCACTGCCATTGATTGAGTCGATACCAGCTCACATCGATTCTATAGGGCAGGGTAGAACTGCTCCTATGGGTTTCCAAAATTCTAACTCTGTATGGGATTAGAAGGCTTCATCTTGCTCCTGCAGAGCAGCTTTGAATTTCGAACTGCTGACCTTGTAATTAGCAGCCCAACATGTAACCACCGTGGTCCTTAAGTCATCTGTCATCAATTTGAGAGGATTCAGAGCGAAGGGGTGGAGTCTAGGCTGTCAATCAGGTCAGAGCTTAATGACCTCATTTGGAGGCAAGAAGATAAATGGATAAATAGCTCACTGGAGGCAGGACACTCTCTTCCTGAGAGACTACTGACAAGACACATGGAGCCATGCTGAAGGCAGCGAGAGCCCCGGACTTGGAGGAGCCACGTGGCGACCCCTGCCAGCACTGAGATGCTTACAACACCACTGGATCCACAAGATCTCCCACGTGTTGTGTGAATCTGAAGAGGACTTTATAGATTGGTAATGGACATATGGGCTAATATCGGACTCACGGGCTTGATCTGGACTGGGCTGGGCTGTTTTCTCAGTATTCAATTGCTCTTGTGTAGAAAGCTCTTTCTTAGACCCTATCTGTGTTTATGAATTTGTTTCTCCAGTTGACCTAGACTAGCAACTGCTATGCCACCAGGGCTCCTTAAGGGTGTCTTACATTTCCCTAATTCAGAGAATGGCCCTGCGATCCACCTCTTCTTCTCCGGAGCCAACTAGGAGCAGAGTTTCAAACTGTTCAGAAAATCAGGGTTGACTATAAACCCATCTGGCTGGGCAGTCGTCATGGGGTGGTGGCCAAGAGAACCCATTTTAACAGCTCCGCACAGGGGCTGGCAGGCCTCAAACCCCGGGCTGGGCTGCCTGGTCAGTCCTGTGACTCGCGGGCCTTCGTGACTGGGCTCACGGGACTCCTGCTCTCCTTTATGGCTGCCTCACTTCGGGCTGCACCATCACCTCGGGAAACTCACGCTGGTGGTGACGGAGCCCTGGGGCACAGCAGTTAGGTGCCACCCCGGCTAACTGTTAAGTCAGTGGTTCGAACCCACCAAGCGCTCTGTGGGACAGTCGGCTCCCGTGGAGATGGCCACCCCGGGAAGGCTATGGGGCCGTTCTACTGTGCCCTCTAGGGTCACCAGGAGGCAGAATCCACTCGGTGGTTATGAGTTTGCTGCTGTAAACTCTTTCCCGAGAGGCACTTTGCACCCCTGGGCCCAGTGAGTGGACCAGGACCAGCCAAATGTGTTTTGTGTGCTTGCTGGGGCTCTTGGTGCCATGTCTGACCCAGTCCTCAGCCACTGGCGGGAACCCCCGGACAGGCGAGGAAAACAAGGGCTTGTTGCTTTTCATGTACCTGTGGTCCTTCGGTTTACCTGCTCCAACTCTGACGCCCAGCCTAGCCTCCTGCACCTCCCCTTGCCTCCAAGCTGCCCAGCTGACCATGGGGCCCCGCGGATTTGTGCCAGCCCAAGTGATTGCTGTTCGGATGTCTGATGCAGACTGTGGGGGCTGCCAGGGCCCCCAAAAGGGCTGGAATCCGGGGACTGGCTCCCCGCCCCCTCCCAGACTGTGGGGCTCGGGAGTGGCCGAGGCGGCACACACCTCTTCCGCTTCCTTCCCACGGGGCCTACTTCTCCTTTCTGGGAGGTCTGGCCAAGTCCCCAATAGGAGGGGGGTCCCGTGGAGTAGACTTGGGGGAGGTCAGGCCCTGGCTGGGCTGGCTGGTCAGTCCTGTGACTCGTGGGCCTGGAGAATTCGCCCTCCTCTCCCTGCGGGGCCTCCTCACAAGGCCCCCATTGTCCAGGAAAATCACGCCATTGTTTCCTGGTGGGCCCCCACCCCCCCCAGCCCAGGGACTCCTCCTGCCCTAACCCACAGACAGCACCCTGGGCCTAGGACTGGGCCTGGAAGGTGGGGTTCCAGGCTCAGGGTGGCTGTGGGCACTTTGCGTGCCCGCCTCTGCCATCACCCAGACTCTGGGAGGGAAGCAGGGCACTGGGGGGCAAAGCCTGGCTTCTTCCTCTCTGGCAACAAGCCCCACCCCCAGCTCGTTCCTCTCCTGCAGGCAGCTGGGCCCTGGAGGGAGCAGGGCCTGGAGCAGGGCAGGAAGCCGGCTTGGGGGCAGCAGGAAACGCAGGAAGCGGTGGGGAGGGTGGGGAGCAGGGGCCTGGCTATTGTTCCATTTCTTTCTGGAAAGAAATCGGAGGAAAAACAGAGGACAGGAATCCCCTCCCCCCAGCCTTCGGGGAATCCCCCTCAGGCTGGGTCAGGGAGCAGGGTCCCTGGATGGCTGGGGCCCAGGGCTCAGGCTGGGACAAGCCCCTACCTCGACCAACCTCCAGTCTGGGATAAGTGGAGTGGGTGGGGCGGCTGGCAGGCTTCTCCAGCATTGCCAGTCCTGGCGAGAATTCTGATATCCCGATATCGCTGGGTCCTGGCACCCGAAGCCCCGAAGCCCCTTGTCCATGGTTAGCCCGGGGCGGCCAGGAGGCCCCAAATACCCATGCTTCTCTCCCCTTCTCTCCACCTTTCCAGTGACTCCTGCATCTTCTACTGCTCTCCAGCCCTGGCCCTCCCTCTGGCTGCATCCAGCCCTTCTGCTGTGCCTGGCCCTCCCTCTGGCCCTTAGCTCTTGTCAGGTCCTCCAAATGGACACTCTTCTAAACACTGTCTGCTCTCGGCAGAGTGCAAAGCCTGTCTCCTTCAGGAAGCCCTCCTGAGCCTACCCCTCGCTAGGCTAGGCTCTGGCCCCCGAATGGGGTGTGCAGGTGTCATGAAATGGCTAGCAACAGAGTGCCTGGCTGCCCTGTACCCCCTCTCCCCAGGCCAGCCATGCCCACCTGAGCCCTAACCCCAAGCTTGGCCCTCAAATGCCCATGCATGGCCACCTGAGGGCTCACTATGTGCCAGACAGCATCCGCTGGGGCTTGCCCGGTCCATTAGGCCGCTATAGCCTCGTGGCCACTCAGGAAGGTATCATTAACCCCATTTTACAGGGCATCAAATGGATGCCCTCAGCAGAAATAAGCAGCTAGAGGTCCTGCAGAGAAAGAGGGATGGGGGTGCCTCTCAGCTCTAGGGGAGCCACCTGCTCCAAGCAAGGGGAGACCGGCACCCCAGGGCACCACCATGTAAGGGATGAGGACACCACCCTGCAGGGGCCTCCTGGAGGTGGTGGCCAAGCTAGCAGGATGCCAATGGCCCACCTGGACAGTCCACACCAGATACAAACTATTGGTATGGGCAGGCCAAATGGCTCCTGGGCCTGGGTGCTCACGAACGCTGCTTTGGGTGGGGGGGTGTCAAAGTGGGCCTGTGGGGCTCCCCAAGGCTGGGAGGACCTGCTTCCTGTAGACCCCCAGACAGGCTCAGCTGAGTGTACGCTGTAGAAAGGTGGGTGCCTGGGCCGTGCCCCCCTCCAGCCACGCCCCCCTCGACACTCACTGTTGTTGGACTTGAGGTCGCGGTGGATGACGGGCACCAGGGCCTCACAGTGCAGGTAATGCATCCCTCGGGCGATCTGCACCGCCCAGTTGACCAGCACATGGGGCGGCACGCGCCGACCGGCCAGGGCGCGGCTGAGGGGCCCCCCGGCCGCATACTCCATCACCAGGCACAGGTTGGGCTCTTCCAGGCACACGGCCTTGAGGGCGATGATGTTGGGGTGCGCCAGCATGGCGAACAGCCGGGCCTCCTGGCGCACGCTCTCGGCAGTCACACTGATGTCCTCGTCCGGGTCCTGGCGAGCGGCCTTCACGGCCACCAGCTCGCCCCGCCAACTGCCACGGTACACCTTGCCGAAGCCCCCGATGCCAATCACCTCCTCCAGCCGCAGCTCCTGGAAGCTGGCCACCTCGCAGGGGGGCGGGCCACCCCGAGACACATAGTTGGATGGAAAGATGCCCACCTGGCCGCCCACCTGGCCCGCCCACCAGCCCTCGTCCCCAGAGATGGCTGCATCCCGGGACAGCACCTCCACTCGGTCCCCCTTGCGCAGGGCCAGCTCGTCCTGCCCGTTGGGCTCGTAGTCAAACAGGGCTGTCCACACAGGGTTGGCATAAGCTGCAGCCTTCGACGACCCCTCTGGCCGGGCCCCGCTGCCACCCCCGCCACCCCCACCATTCCACGACCCCAGCGGACTCTTGAGGAAGAGGTTCTTCAGG